ATGGCCCGAATTAAGCTTAATTTAGGCCGAAATTCGTAATTTCACCCCTGCGCGTTATTTCGCGACAATACGGTACAAGATGGAAGCGATACATATAATAACAGTAGTCTTATTCGTAAATACCAATGAACCAAAAATATTATTAGGACAACGATTTGATAGTAAACAAGCATTTTATTTACATTTCGATGGAGTAACAACATCTCAACTACCAGAAGCTTTCCCCGAAACAACTGCAGTAATGGAAACACAAACAGTACTAAACAAATTAATCGCACAAGAATACCTACTAGAAGCGACTATAACCAAGTACCCAAGAAAATATGAAAATCCTGAAACAATAATACACACGTATATATACCCATATGCAGGAGGAGAATTAGAAATCAACCGAAGAACCAAATCCTATTACCATTGGAGTTGGCACAACAAAGAACAAGCTACCAACTTAAATTTAGTACCAAATCTACGAAGTAACCTTGATAAAATATTCAATGCAATAATAACATATAAAGCTATTAAAAAGATACAAATGAACCAACCAAAATCGGACTACGATTCAGATTACGAACCAGAACAAGCTCAGTTACAACCATATACAAATCTAGAAATGCAAGAACTAGAACAAGACCTTAGAAAATGTAAGACATACCAGTTACAAAAAGCGTTACTATGGTATGACCGTGAAATAACAAAACACCATGAACGAGCAAGGTACCTGAGTGAAATGAAAAGAAAATTAAGAAAGCGCAAAAAGAAAGATTCTTATGTATATTCCCACGAACTATGAGGACGCAACTACTAAAACTACTAGGAAGCAGTCCCCGAGTGTACCGAATAAACCAACAAGACGTGTACCCACATATACAACACAGAATATTTAATTACCATGTGAAACAAAAAGAAGATAATCGGAATGCACAAAAAGGGATAATTAAGATCCGACCATATGAAGACACTAACCGAATGAGTGACACAATAGAAAATATAAGGCCACGCAAAGTTAATTTTTCGTTTTGCATAACATGGTATTTCAAAATTCCGGTCGGCGGGTCGGATTT